ATTTGTCTGCCTTTTCCATAAATTTGTCAATTTTTTCCTCATTTTTGTGTGCTTTTAGCTTTAACTCTTAGATATCTCTGAATATTAGAGATTTGAATTCCCTATCAGGTAGTTCTAGTGCCTTTTTTTCTACTGGAAAGTCATCTGGTGTTTTATTTTGGACACCTACGGGAAACTTCCTGTCCTGTTTTTGTATATGTTTTGATATTGTCTGTTGTCTTCGAGGCATTCAGTAGTTATTTTCCTCATTTATTGATTGTAGATTTGTTTGTTTCATTCTGCTGTTTTGTTTTATTTGGTTATGTCTGAGCAGGTGGGCTGTGTGTTGTTTTTTGTTTGCTCGTCTGTGGGCACGATACTTTTCATCTCCTTCTCCAATGGGCAGGGTCAGTCACTCAGGTATGGTACAGCAAGGCAGGTCCAGCTGAAGGGGAGTTGCTGGGTTGGGTTGTTTGTGGCACATACTACGGTTGACAGTGCGGACCAGGAATCAGTGCAGGGCAGGTTCCAGTAGGCTGTGCCTGTGCTACTTGGGAGTGTGTTCAGTGCACACGGCAGGTAGGCAGGAAGGAGGGGGGAGATTGTGATGTGTGGAGATAAGATGGATATGGGAATGAGGAGAGAGAGAGAGGAGAGAGGAACAGGTGCCAAAAACATACACACAAACAAACAAATAAAAAAGATTCCTAAGGGAGCTTGCTGTTGGAGTGGAGACCTGAGAGACTGAGAAATGAAGAAAAACAAAAAGGAAAAGAAAAAGAAAAAGGGTAAAAGAAAAAAATGAATAAATAAAAATTAGAGGGAAAAAAAAGAAAAGCCCCTAGGGTTCCCGCTGTGTGCTTCTGCTAGGACTGGGGAAGTTGCTCCCAGGCTGTGAAGTACAGCCTGGCTAGAAAGGGTAGAGGTGTCACACAGTGCCATGTATTCAGAAGAGAGGAAGAGAAGTTAAGTATAGAGAGACAAGAAACTGGAAATGAAAGGGAAAAACAGAAGAAAACAAAACAAAGAAGCAAAAAAAAAGAAAAAAGAAAACACCCTCAGTGATGTCACTGTCCATCTCCGCAGAATAAGGGAGTAGCTCCCAAGCTGCACAGTACTGCCCTGCTAGAAGGGGCTCCCAAGCCGAGAAAAGGAAAAGAAAACAAACAAACAAATCAGAAGAAACAAACAAAAAAAGCCCCAGGGGTCCCACCAGCGTGGCAGCATGGGCTGAGAAGCAGTGTTTCAGGAAGAAGCAAAGATGGCACATGGAGCCAGGTATTTGAGAGAAAGGAGGGGGAGGTGGTGAGAGGTAAGGAAGAAATCTAAAGAAGTGGAAAAAAGGAACACCAGCAGCCAACAAATGGCACCGAGGGAGTCGGTCAGTATGAGCGGGTGAAATCCAAGTGACACCGGGGTGAAGCTGATGCTTCCTGGCCAAGAGACTGTGGCTGCAAGAAGCAGAGGAGGCCGAGTGGGGGTGAAGAAGGGTGAAGCGTGGGAAACCTATATCGCTGATTACCGGTTGTTCTGTCTCCTGCTGGAAACTCCGTGAAGCTGCTTTCTTGTACCCCCTGTTCGCCAATCTCCGATAGGAGTCCAAGATGGCAGATCCGTGCTGCGGTAGCTGATAGGGGCCCTCTGCATGTATCTCTCCTCGCTCTCTGTTCTAGGTCAGTTTATTATTCCATTCGGTGCTTGACTGAGTTCTTTATCTTTTCATTTGATGCTTAGGGTTTCAGGACTGACGTGTGTCTCTGTTTGACTTAGTTTTTTGTATCTTTACTGTGGAGGGACGGTGTGGTGCTTCTGTCTATAGTGCCATGTTGCCTGGAAGTCCCTAAGAATGCTTTTAAGAGTGAAACACTAAAAAGTATTATTACATAATCTTGACTCTGGAGTTTGTGTGTGTGTGTGTGTGTGTTTTAATCTGTGTGAGGAAATTGGTAGTATGTACAAGGCAATTCTCTTGCATAGTTAAGGCTTATTGTTATCTTGAGAAAATACAGTTGTATGATTATTTGAGTTACAAAACCAACTTTTTTTAATGGCTCATCATTTTTAAATGAAAGAATGACTGACAGACTATGGTTTTTCACACCCAAATATGGAAAGAAAAAACAAAACTGATAGTAGTTATTAACAATGATAAAATTCAGCTTTAAAGTGGAAATTAGAATTTTGGAAAACTTGTATCTGCCACCATGAACTTGACATCTTCCTAATACTTAAAGATAGTTTAGTTTGATAGTACCACATGTGCTTGCTTGATATTTAATGTAATCTGTCAACATTTGGAATCTCTGCTTGTCAGTGAACTGATAGTTTTCAAATGACTCACACATCATGTTACAAAATCATGCAAGATTATAAATCATTCACTCAGCATACAAGAAGACCAATGGATGATGGTTTTATTGATATGGTTTCATATTCCACACTGGGACAAATTTTAAGAAATTCCTACTTGTTGAGTTTGGTGTGTTTTCGTAGAACATCCACAATTATCTGAAAAGGCTATTAAAATGCTTCCTTTTCCAATTACATATCAGTATTTTCTTTGTATACTTCAGTCCAGGGCTTTGAACTGGTTTGTTCTGGTTTGAGTCCCTGTTGAGAATTTGCATTTCCACCCCAGATATACTGAATCCAAATCCACATTTTGACAACATCCCCAGGTGATTCTTTTGTATAATAAAATTTGAAAACCACTTGTCTACTAGTGGTTCTCAGAATTGGTCCCTAACCAGCAGCATTAGCATTGCCTAGGAACTTGTTAGAAATGCAAATTCTACGCAAGGGTTTGAACTTGAAGGAACATATCACACGTTAGAAAGCAGAAGCAGGTATAAGAATCCATCTGACTTCTATTAAGTCAGACATTGGAGATATTTGCAAAAACATAAAACAATACTACTCACTAAATTCTCTTTGGAAAATGTAGTTACTTTTCCCTAAAATTGTTATACTATTATATATAATGAGTTTATTATTATTTTAAAATGGATTAATAAGTATTTTAAATTTTTCTCAGTTTTATTTTTTAATACTATAAATATTGATAGATATAACCCATACAAAAGGTCTTTTGGTAGTCTTTAGTGATGTTTAAGGATGTAAAGAAATCCTGAGACCAAAACTTTTGAGAACAGCTATTGCAGATTTTAATGGTTGTCATCTATTTTAGAGACTTTTCTTCCAATTACAGTATATAATTTATCAATTGACTCTTTTCTGCCATTTTTTATAAGTCTCATTTTTCTAGAGTCATATATGTCTTTTTCCTTTTAAAACTTCTCATTTTAATCTGCTGATTTTGTTTATGTACAATCAAAAACCTCATGGGATTTGGTTCCTTGGTTTGAAGGTTAAGGGTCCCGGTTTCCCAGTTAATTGGCCTAATAATGTGTTTAGTGCTTCTGTTCTACCTCCTAGTTTCTTGCATAGTGTCTGGGGTCTTAAAAGCTTGCAGGCAGCCATCCAAGGCACAACAGTTGGAATAGAGATTCACCTGGAGCAACAGAGGAAGAAGGAGAGTCAGGAATAGGAGGAGGATATGGAATGTGTAACTAAATGCCTGCATTAACAACTGCCTCCTTTGCCATGAGACCAGAATAAATGGATGGCGCCTGGCTAACATTACTGAACATTTTAATGAAAGATTTTATAGAAGAATCCTGATTAAAAGAGGGAGAATGCAGAACAGATTTTCAAATGTTTATATTTTTGATCTATACTCCCTGAAGATTCCATTACTTTGTTTTCAAATACATGATTAGATTTCTAGCTTTATTTTTATTCCTCACTTTGTTTTCAAAAATTTCATTATTTATGCTTGTATTTTTTTTTTAATTTTTCAGGAACACTTTTCATATTTACCAGTCATTTCCATAATAGCTTTATAATTATTTTATGTATATATTATCTGTCTTTACTATTTAGAATTTAAAAAACTTATTTAATGCTGTCTATATTAATTGTTTCTTTTTCTTTGTTTTGCTTCTCTTTAATGCTCTTGGAGTTCCTCCAAGTTGGGGGATTGTGTGATTTTCATTCATGTCCATAAATGAAAATAATAGAGGTTTCCTTAGCAATTAGAAGCTATCTGGTGTGTCTTTGAATACAGAGATTGACAGTAAGCTCTGCAGCACAGGCGCTTAAATTTGGTTTAAATGAGCAGGTAGAAAAGTGAACAGTGGCAGGCTTCCTTTCAGTGTGATTGGGGAACTCTCCTCTTGGTGTAAATTGTCAGGAACCTGTGAGGAGGAGCACAAGTGGCAATAGAGTTCTCTTCTTTGGAAGATGAGCTTGTTGGATTTCTGGTGTGATTGTGTACTTACTTTCATTTTTATATTTCTTGTGTCATTTCAGTGAGATTTTGGAATGGACAGGAAAAATAAAATACATTGTCTCAGTTCCAGATATTGAACTGGAACTCAATAAAACTAATTTTAAATTTATTAGAAAATTATTTTTAATAACTATTGTTGGTAATTATATGACCTTAATTTCTTCTCAGATGAATCTAAGCTTGAGTTGGAGGTAGCATAAGAGCACAGACTCTGGAACCAAGCTGCCTGGGTTGGAATCTTAGTTTTGATAGCCTGAGTCTTGGGCACGAGACACAACCCTGTGTCTTTCAGTTTCCTCATAATTATTGTAAAATAATACTAATTTTAAATTATTGTTTGGAGATTTAAATTAATTAATATTCATTAAGTGCCTATGCAATATTTGGCACTTAGTAAGTGCTAGATAAGTGTTTAATAAAAATAAAAATAAAAATAAATACAGCTGTATATAAAATCATGTATTATAAATTTAACCCCAATGATTTCTCTTGAATGCAATGGATATTTGGATTGCTTAAATAACCATGTTTATGTTTTTCTTTGTTTAATTTTTTTCAGCTTATCGTGAGCCTCATTATTATTACCAGTTCACAGCTCGATATCATGCAGCTCCCTGCAACAGTATCTATAATATTTCTTTTGAGAAGAAGCTTCTTCAGATTTTAAGCAAATTGGTTCTTGACCTTTCGTGTGAAATTTCCTTGCTTAAATCCGAATGCCATCGTGTTAAAATGCAGAGAGCTGGTTTGCAAAATGAATTGTTCTTTACATTTTCAGGTAAGCATGTAGAATTCTTTGAAGAAAACCAATTGAGGACAGATATCTGATTTTAAAGATATATTGTGAATTACCAACAGCATTTTTTAGTATATAAATATTCTAAATCTGAATTTTCCACATTCTGTACTTTGATTTGGTGATAATAGCCCCCAAATAAAATTCTACTGATCCATATACTTACTGAAAAGTTTGCTATCTTTCATAATTTCCTTGCTGTAATTTACTATAGAATAGAATTTAGTGTAAAGAATACCTATCATGATATTTAGCTATACAGATTTAATTTGTAAAAGCATGCTATTGTAAGATATGTCAATATCATGAAACAGAAGGACTGTTCTAACAACTTTGTGTGCTTTTCCTTGTAATGCAGAGTGGAGGTCCAATATGTTCTGAAAAATAAAAAAATTAGACTTGTTTTCTAGAGACTTTAGATTTATAAATAGTCTGTTTATGAATGAGCACTTAGGAATAGCCATCCCATGTGTTTTTAAAGAGTTCCAGGAGCAATAGGACTCCATTTTCTTTTCGTCTCAAATGCTATTGCTTTGCTATTTTCCTTTCTTTCCTCCTCTTTTTGCTAGATTCCTCTGCTATCAGTGTTTGATTGTATGTACCCATTTTTCTGATTTTTCCTTCTCTATTTTGAGCCATCTAGGACTAAACCTTTAGAGACCACGATTGAGAGGCATGATGCTTTAAGGGAAAAGAACAAGAGAATTTGAACCCCATTTTTACTGGTTTTTTTTTTTTTTTTTTCATCTTTTTTACTACTTTTCTCTTTTCCAGAAAATCACTGAGGGTTTTTCTTTAGGTCCTGAGACAAATTAGCAGAAAAAAACTGACTTTGTTAAGCTCTTCAAGGACCCACTGTTAGCATTCATATTATGGAGTCTTTGTGCCTTGATCTTTTTTGCTAGGTGTAAGAGTCCTTAGAAAACCTGAGAAGTGTACTTCAGACCATGAGGGGGGAGAAAAAGTTCTACACTGGAGATGCAGATGGAGATAGGATGCATCAAATTTATTTTAGGTAGTTTGTACATGGCCCTCCGGCTCCTCCTAACTCATCTCTGCATCTCACCCATGTATCAGCAACTCCATTTCCTGCTGTGATCATTTGTCTTTGGTTTCTTATCTTTATTATACAATAAGTTGAGGATTACCTGTTTTCATAATTAGGCTGGATCAGGTTTAAATTTTGTGGAATTCTTGCTGAATTTAAGTCCATACAATTACTGTATTTGTTTAGTTGAATAATATATATGGAAGAAATGGTATTATTCAGTTATTTCTTCCTTTCTTCTATTCTCCCTCTCTCCCTTCCTTCCCTTTGTCTTCTTTTTGTCCTTCTTTTTCATCCTGTTCTTCCTATTCTTTTTTTTATTGAGATGAAAGTCACATGACATAAAATTAGCCATTTACAGTGTACACATCAGTGGCATTTAGTACATTCACAGTGTTGTGTAACCATTACATTTATCTAGTTCCAATGCATGTTTATCACCCCCGAATGGAAACCCATGCCCATTAAGCAGTTGCTCTCTAAATCTCTCATTGCCACTAGAAGTCATTGCTTTCTGTCTGTATGGATTTACCTATTCTGAATAGTTCATATAAAATGGAATTGTAGAATGTGTAACCTTTTATGTCTGGCTTCTTTTACTTAGCGTGTTTTGAGATCCATCCATGATGGAGCGTGTATCTTTATTTCATTTATTTTTATAGCTGAATAATATTCCATGCATAGATAAACTATATTTGTTTATCTGTTTATCAGTTGGTAGATATTTGGGTTGTCTCTACCTTTTGGCTATAGTAAATAATGCTGCTGTGAACATTAATTTACAAACATTCATTTGAATACCTACTTTCAGTTCTTTTGAGTATATTCCTAAGAGTGGAATTACTGGATCATGTGACAATTTTAAGTTTATCTTTTACAGGAATTGTCAAATTGTTTTCCACAGCAGCTATACCATTTTACATTCTAATCAGCAATGTATGAAGGTTCCCATTGCTCTACATCTTTATCAACACTTGTTATTATTTTTTAATCTGGTCATCTTAGTGGGTTTGAAGTATCTCGTTGTTTTGAATTGCATTTCTCTCATGACTAATGATGTAGGGCTTATTTTCATATATTTGAAAATATTTGGAGGAATATTTATTTAAGTCCTTTGCCCATTATTTAATTGAGTTGTTTATCTTCTTTTTGTAGATTTGTAGGAATTTTTGTATATTCTTGAAATTACACCCTTTGGGATATATGAATTGTAAATGACTGTAGGTTGTCTTTTCACTTTTTTTTTATTGTGCTTCGATGAAAGTTTACAGAGCGTATTAGTTTCTCATTAAACAATTAAAACAGATACTGTTTTGTGACATTGGTCGCTAAACCTGCAATGTGTCAGCACTCTCCCCTTCTCAACTTTGTGTTCCTGTTTCCATTCGTCCAGCTTTTCTGTCCCCTCCTGCCTTTTTGCCTCTGGGCTGGTGTGCGCATTTAGTCTTATATGCATGGTTTAACTACCTGATTTATTGTTTTGTTTTTATACGCCTGTCTGATCATTGGCTGAAGGGTGAGCCTCAGGAGTGACTTCAGTACTGAGTTAAAAGGGTATCCAGGGGCCATACTCTCAGAGTTTCTCCAGTCTCTGACAGACGAGTAAGTTTGGTCTTTTTTTTTATGAGTTTGAATTTTGTTCTACATTTTTCTTCAGCTCTGTCTGGGACTGTCTATTGTGATCTCTGTCAGTGCAGTTGGTGGTGGTAGCCGGGCACCATCTAGTTGTCCTGGATTCAGTCTGGTGGAGACTGTGGTAGTTGTGTTCCACTAGTCCTTTGGACTAATCTTTCCCTTGTGTCTTTGGTTTCCTTCATTTTCCCTTGCTCCAGATTTGGTGGGACCAGCTTAGATGGCCGCTCACAAGCTTTTAAGATCCCAGACACTGCTCACCAAGGTAGGATGTATTACATTTTCTGTATGAGCTATGTTATGCCAGTTGAACTGTATGTCACCCGAAACCATGGTCCCTAGCCCTCAGCCCAGTAAGTAGGTCCCTCAGGGAGTTTGGATGTGTCTATAAAGCTTCTCCCCAACACACTTGTCAGTTTGTTGTGCTGTGGGGGCTTGCGTGTTGCTGTGATGCTGGAAGCTATGCTACTTGTATTCAATTATCAGCAGGGTCACCCATGGCAGACAAGTTTCAGCTAAGCTTCCAGACTAAGATAGACTAGGAAGAACGACCTGTTGGTTGACTTCTGAAAAGAATTAGCCAGTGAAAACCTTATGAGTAGCAGCAAAACATTGTCTGATATAGTGCCGGAAGATGAGCCCTTCAGGTTGGGAGGCACTCAAAAGACAACTAGGGAAGAGCTGCCTCCTCAAAGTAGAGTTGAACTTAATGATATGGATAGAGTCAAGCTTTTGGGACCTTCATTTGCTGATATGGCACGACTCAGATGAGAAGAAGCAGCTGCAAATATCCATTAATAATCAAAATGTGGAATGTACGAAGTATGAATCTAGGAAAATTGGTAATTGTCAAAGGTGGATGCATAAACATCGATATCCTAGGCATTAATGAGCTGAAATGGACTGGTGTTGGCCATTTTGAATCAGACCATCATATGGTCTACTATGCTGGGAATAACAACTTGAAGAGGAGTGGCATTGCATTCATCGTCACAAAGAACATTTCAAGATCTATCCCGAAGTATAGCACTGTCAGTGATAGGAAAATATCCTTACGCCTACAAGGAACACCAGTTAATACAACTACTGTTCAAATTTATGTACCCACCACTGAAGACAAAGATGAAGAAATTGAAGATTTTTACCAACTTCTGCAATCTGAAATTGATCAAACATGCAATCAGGATGCATTGATAATTACTGGTGATTGAAATGCAAAATTTGGAAAAAAAGAAGTAGGATCAGTAGTTGGAAAATATGGCCTTGGTGATAGAAACGATGCTGGAGATCACATGATAGAATTTTGCAAGACAAACAACTTCTTCATTGCAGATACCTTTTTTCAGCAACATAAATGGTGACTATACATGTGGACCTCACCAGATGGAATACACAGGAATCAAATCGAGTACATATGGGAAAGAGATGTTAGAGAAGCTCAGTATCATCAATCACAATAAGGCCAGGGGCCAACCACGGAACAGACCATCAATTGCTCATATGCAAGTTCAAGTTGAAGCTGAAGAAAATTAGAACAAGTCCATGAAAGTCAAAATACCACCTTGAGTATATCCCACATAAATTTAGAGACCATCTCAAGAATAGATTTGATGCATTTAACACTAATGACCAAAGATCAGACAAGTTGTAGAATGACATCAAGGACATCATACATGAAGAAAGCAAGAGTTTATTGAAAAGACAGGAATAGAGAGAAAAGCCCAAAACGGATGTCAGAAGACACTCTGAAACTTGCTCTTGAACATTGAGTAGCTAAAGCAAAAGCAAAAAAATGAAGTAAAAGTGCTGAACAGAAGACTTCAAAGGGCAGCATGAAAAGACAAAGTAAAGTATTATAATGATATGTGCATAGACCTGGAGTTAGAAAACCAAAAAGGAAGAACATGCTTGGCATTTCTCAAGCTGAAAGAACTGAAGGAAAAATTCAGGCCTTGACTTGGAATAGTGAAGGATTCTATGCAGAAAGTATTAAACGACACAGGAAGCATCAAAAGAAGATGGAAGGAATACACAGAGTTGTTGTACCAAAAAGAATTGGTCAACATTCAGCCATTTCAGGACGTAGCATATGATCAGGAACTAATGGTACTGAAGGAAGAGATCCAAGCTGCATTGAAGGCATTGGTGAAAAACAGGGCTCCAGAAATTGATGGAGTACCAGTTAAGATGTTTTAACAAACAGATATAGCACTGAAAGTGCTCACTTGTCTATGCCAAAAAATTTGGAAGACAGCTACCTGACCAACTGATTGGAAGAGATCCATATTTATGCCTATTCCCA